GGGACTGGGGAAATTGGTTCGTTACACCGAGGGTCGATTTTGCGGAAAAACGAACAAAATATTCGTTTTATCGAGTTAAAGTTAATAATGGGTTTTTTAATGGTTTTTATTTGGGCAACCCTACATTTCTGGATCTGATCGATTACTGTAAATAACATTTGGGCTTTAATGTCTATAAGAAGCTACAGTACACTGTACAGAACTGTAACTAGCTACGGCACTGGAAAACTAAACAGGTCAGCAAATTTTTAACTATATCAACTGACTTTTACAACAAGAAGTCTTCGCAAATAAAGAAGTTAATATCTGTTGTGATGTGTTGATAGCCGGGGTCGAAAGTCTCAGTGTCTGCATGTATAATGAGCTACTATAAACTTTAAAGTTGTTTTATTGTTATAAAGATTAAAGAATTTTCATCCTTGTTTGTCCTTCGTATTTATCTTTTGCCACGTGTTGACATTTGTTCGTTATATCGGGGTATATTGTACATTTGGGCTTCTGGATTGTGTTCGGTATGACGGGGATTTCGTTATATCGAGGTTCTATCCCGTACATTTTACTGTAACTTCGGTCGGACTGAAGAATATCGTTCGTTATACCGAGGACTTCGTTATATAGAGGCTCCACTGTATTATCCCGGAATAATGCTTGAATCTTTTGCCTCCCTGTTATGCTCAAAATAATGCCGGCAAAATGTGTAAAACTATAAAGATGAGATTTTCACTTGACACGCGATACAATCAAGTTAACAACGTGCAATCAATGATTGAATATACTACAGAACCTTCGGAGTTTACGTTGTTTAGTTTCTTGTCACGCAATTTCCGCTTCCGTCCGACTTGTGTTACGATATATTTTCCCGACATGCAATTCTTTTCTCCGAAAGAACGTCATCCGCATTTTCGGGGAAAGCACCGAGCAGGGACAACACAATGGAGGAGATCAACAACGCAGTTGAAGATGGCTTCAATACAAACCCAGGAAAGGAAAGTTCTAAACGTGTTCATCTTTTCAACTGTGATAAAACGTACAATTTAGACTTGGTAGAGAAATTGTTTTGCGACATCGGAAAGAAACTAAGCTTCGACATACAGTTACCGATCGGTAAAAGTTATTTTCCAATGCCCAAGATGTCTGAGATGTGTGAGACTACCATTCCTAAACTACAAATGGATGTTGCCATTTTTGTCGTTCATGCTCACGAATCTCGGCTCTCGATTAACGAAGACAACGCTGGAATTGGTTACGCGAAGATCTACAGAGCGTTACTGAAGGCCACGGGTAAGTCAGCCGTGTAAAGCTTTGTAAAGCGGAAGTTGGAAAGCGGGTCGTTCTTTCTCCTACGGCAGCTTGAAGACCTTAAAAATATGTGGAACGCTGCCTTTAGAAAATAGATAGGGTAAAACTATGGGTTTTACGAAGTTTAAAAAACGCAAGCGTATTTCTTGAAGCCAGAAAGAATAGAACTTTCGCTTTCGGTCGGTTACACGGCAACGATATCGTGACGTAAGCATTTGTTTAGATGTAAAATTCAACATAATAGCGAGGCTTAGAGGCAAAAACAAAGGAAAATTCATTAATTTCCTTTGTTTTTGTCCTCTATGTCTCACCGCTGAGCCGAATGTTTATAATGTATCGCACACAGCATATTGCTGGAAGCATTCTTTTCCTTTTTTTCGTCTCTCGTGAGCGCATGTATAGGGAACAAGCCCATGTATCGGAGAAAAATCGCTCTCCAGATCATCTCGTGATATGGGCAGCAGACTAAGATAGATGTATACTCTGATCAACTCTAAACAAAAGGTTTAAAGACGTGTTGTACGTTTTGGTATGGAGCTCAAGTTCTTTGGTATACGTAGCTACTCCCTGCAAAAGCGGCACAGGTCCGCTATGTATATCAATCTGTGTAATGATTAATACATTTTTAAATGTTTTTATCTTTTCTTATGTTGATTATCTAAGATTTTGTAATTCTATTTAGGTGACCTCTATTAGTAGAGGGTTACTTTACGGCTAAAACAACTGACACATTAATAAAGTTTAGTTATCATTCTTACTATTACAGAACGAGAAATCACCCGATCAGTTAGTTTTGTGGAAAAAGATAACAGTGAAGTTTCCTTCCATTTTTCTATTTCAACCAAGGTTGAACACATAATTTTACTCTTATACTGTATTCATGTGTAGTCTGATTCAGAAGCTCTGAGACTATCATGATATGGTTACTATTCAGTTGTAATAGACGTTGTTCTCGCTGCCTACGTCATTGCTCATAAAAAACCCTCGATTTTGATATGATTGCTATTATCAAAAATGTTTCAGCTTAACTTTATGTTGAAATCAGAGTTCTGCATTGCAGGTCCCAAGACTTGCACACTGTCACACACAGTTACATTTGATAATTAAGCCTTTTTCCGTTGTTTCCTTTTTTGTTTTCTAGTAGACGAAAATGTCCTTATTGTTATCGGCGGAGATGACCAATACAGTAATACGAATGAAGAGGAAAGATCTGTCATTTCACGTTGGGCCAGAGGGAAGATTTCCTCACAGTTTAAAGAAGAGTTCATGGATGGTAGAAGGAGCTTTATTTTTTCTTGGAACAAAAAACACAGAGCAATTCACGAGGAAGCGCTGCTGCATTACTTTGATCCATGCAAGAAAGGACAGAAATTTGAATATCAGCCAAGAATTTCCCCAGAAGTATCCACCGAAGGTAAAGAAAATGAATCAGAAAACAAGAAAATGCCAGGAGAGGGCGATGATAGATATCAGGTGAAACATAAATATTAGCTAATTATGTAACCCTCTTTCGTGGTATGCTATGGAATATTCCACCAGTCACTTGTCCCGGTATGCAAACGAACCTTTAGAAATTACAGTGGCCAGCCAACGCAATCAATGTATAGTGCACGATGGGAAGGTTTGGTGTAATACCGTCGAGTATACAGCGGCTCTCCTGTTTTCTGATTGGCTGTATTTTCTATGGCTTGGTATAAAAAGTCATAAAAGTTATTCACTTAAAGATGTTGTTTGTTGACAAACCCGCCCAAAAAATGTCGCCTTTTTTTCCTAGACTAAGTTAAGCTTGCAAGGAGAATACTAGTTTCTTTTTTTTATTATATAGACACGAGTGTTTTACTGGAAAATACACCACTCGTAAAATTCATACGAAATCGCATTTTGTCTCAAGTTTGTCTCTTAAATTGTACTTAAATTCGAAGGTATATCATCGAAACATCTTCGGGTCTTCCTCGAAAGTCTTCATCTTCGGTAATCTTCGGAAATCTTCGGTGATCTTCGGACGTTTTCGGAAAATGTGCGGCAACGTTCGTGTGACCTTCGGACAAGTTTTGGAGAATCTTCGGAAATCTTCGGAAAGTGATCGGAAATCTTCGGAAAATCGTCAAAAACGCCGTCATCAGTATGTCTATATAATAAAAAGAACATTACACGTTAGCTCGAAGATATGAATTTTATGTTCTCGTGGCAAGAACAATATCTCACTAGTTCGCTGCGCTCACTCGCCACGATGTAATATCCTCTATATATTTCACTCCCAAGGGCGATGGCGGGGGATTAGGGCTATAGAGTTTGTTTCAGGGATTTGAGAGGGAACAGTTTTTTTATTGTGGATATCACGGACTGAAGATCTCCCGAAAGAACAGGCAAAAACAGTTTAACACCTGAAAATTTCTCTTTGCTATCTGCTAGAAGGGCTTTCAGTGTTGAAACCTGTTTTAAAGGATTGGAAATGCGAAATATGCGAATACAACTATGTTAATTGCCTTTCTTTTGAACTTAGAGCAAGAGCTGACAACATATTTTGATTTCTTGTTGTTTAGGAACAAGAAGTTGAACATAACGCAGACAGGCACGCCGAAAGCTCTTCTGGCGTTGAAAAGAACAGAGAAGCGCCCGGAACGCTAATTACGCCGAAACAAAGACCTGATGTGGAAGATGACAAAGGAATGCCTGAGGAGGAAACACAGCCACATTCGCTGCCTGCAGATTATGTATATATTCCAGAGACATCAAAGGATGAATTTGAAGGTAATGGTTGTACGAGTAGGGCCTTATTGGAATGGGAGAACATTCGCTTATTATTCAGCAACCGTATTTGCCCGTATTTGAAGTTCTTTCACCGTTGACGTCGGATTTACGTTTCTTAGCAGCCCCTCTGTTCTAGGCGTCGCCAGAACTCGAACTGAGAGTAGAGAAAAATAGAGGAGTTTAATACGCTTGGTATGGGTTTCTCCCCTTACCGCTCCCTAATGAGAGACAAACTGATAAGAGTTTATAAACCTTACACGTGCACCTGCTAATCATTGAGACTCGAAGTCGACTTCAAAGAAATGCCTCTCTGATGGCAAAGACGGGTCTTTTATTTATAGAAGGGAAATGTTGTAATATTCTTTTAATTTTCATAGTTTTTCTCTCTGAAAAGCACCTTGTGGCTGGAAAATATCGTTATAAAGGACTTAAAAACTACAGCATGGATAAAACAATTTCCGTTACCTATCTAGCCTAAGGGTGCTCTTACATTTACACTCAGAGATAATTATAGTAAACTAGGGCTGTTTTACTTTTCAGTTGTTGAAATATCGGAAGTCGAGACTCTGCTGCTAAAGACCCGTCTGCGATACGGACAACTCTCGGACAGAGATGATGATAAGATGGTCAGGAACGAGCAATGGACGCCCCCAGGTGAATTGCTATCAAGCATTTCTGACAGATTTAAGGATGTGGCTGAAGCTGATTTGGAAATCTACCGTATGGAAGAGTCAGGGGTTATCCGTGTTAAAATCACAGACACCACCAAGAAGCCATTCATCTACGCAATTATTGAGGTTGTTTCCAGTGTAATAACTTGGATAATCGATAACACCTGGCAAATTATTCAGTGGGCGAGGGGTTCAGAAGCAGTAGTAGCAGGACAATCTGAAGAAGGATATACTGAGGACTAAATTCAGAAGCAACAGTAATGGTTTTTCAATAGCAGCATCTGTGTGACTGTCCCAGGGCGAGACACCTATTTGGAAGGGTCGGGAATACTCGTCGTCTTGCGCAGGGGTGTAAATCACATATTTCAGTATTACTTAGGGTGTTCAGGACGAAACGCCACTATTTTAAGCTGTCAAAGTATCTTTTAGAGCGCACTTAAACAAATAATGAAAAAACGCTGTCATTTAGGTGAAATCTTGTCTTTCGGTCATGTAGCTCGAGTCGCGCCCACATCCGCGGTCTTTTCACATGGGAGTCCCCTACGAGGAATGGTCTTGACGAAAGCTCTTTTAATATAGATAAAAACTGAGATGAAAATTGATGGATTAAGACAACTGCACAGGCAAACTTGCTAGACTGCAGCGATCGCTTTTGATTGATCATTACAGTGATTGCAATCTGTGATTAACTGGAGTGATTATTTAACACTGAGGAACTGGAATTAGTGAACTATTATCCAAATCTGTGAGGTGCTTCAAATTGTTTCTTGTTAATTGCTTTATATATCATAATCAGATAGTCTGAAGTGTCAGCCATCTTCTTCGCACTTAACCGCCCAGTGGCCCGGACAAGCCTGCGAGGAGAGCGGTTGACGTTTGAGACGGTTGACGTTTCAGACTAACGATTAGAGAAATTTTATAATAAGGAAATCACGGTCAGCATCTCCTCCACATTCCACTTAGGTTATTGTACGTACGGCAGGCGAGCGCCCCTTTGAACTTTGTAAATATAGTCCACTTCGACATGCATTGTAACAAATACCAGTAAAACGAACAGCTATTTCAAGCTAAGTTAATGTGGGTAAAAAAAGTAATAATAACAAAAAAAAAAA